AATGTCTGTCAGGACCTCCAGTGTGGACCGATGGGCTTCCACCACATCTCAGCTGAGGGCCTGCTAAGCCGAAATGTAGTCTCTGTGCCAATTGTTGAACCATCTGCGAGGATTTCAATGCATATTTTTGTTGTTCAAAGATTAGACTGGGCGTATATTTTACCTTGATAATGTTGAGAATGTCCTCTGAACAGATTAACAGTTCAAGCAACACAACAGCATGAGGCTTTACCTTTGCTCTTCCGGTTCGCCACTAGATTCCAGCGCCAGTTCGCGGTGCTGTAAATGCCAGTTCGCTCGTATTATCAGTTTCAAAACGCACAGGTGAAATGCCCGTCAGAACCACCTTCTAGGCGCACAGGTAGTCTACACAGTTCACAGGTACTTCTTTCCGATGCGTCATTATTTCCGTCCGATTGTCGGCCGCCGCCTGGTAGGCGCCGGGGACCGACGTCGCGCGGCTCGCGGACACTGCAACGCAACGCCAGGACACTGCAACGCCAGGCGTCTGTATTTGTTGTTTCTGAGATTCGCGAGCGCGCGTGATCAAAACCATGGTACATAATCTATTTTCCCTAATCGATTCTGACTGGAGGCTCAATATTTCCAGACAAACATAGGTTGGTCATGTTAATACTAATACGTGGACCCACTTCGATGTAATCAACGTTCACGGGTCCATCAATATCTCCACACACCCCAGAAAATTCTGACAAAGCCTCTGAGTCCTATCGGCTTAGAGAGAGTTCTGACAAAGCCTCTGAGTCCTATCGGCTTAGAGCGAGTTCACGTCATATAGTAAGTTAACATCACCGACAAGTTATTTCATGCAGCCATTCAACATCCCTTCCCTCCAGCTATCATGATTTAAAACTAAAAACAGAACTGCATTTTCTCGTAGCTGATCTAGCTTCTGTTCCAATAAAAGGAGCTACGAATGCAAACATAATGCAGCAAATCATGCCCGTCTTGGACCAAGTGGGCCAAATCTAGTGATAGATGTTCTTGGGAGGGGGGGGGGGGGGGCTTTTACCACCAGGGGGCGCTTTGTCAACCCTGTGCCTCCTCCCTGACCAGGGCTATGAGATCGCCCCTGTTCTAAGCCGCAAAGAAGCGATCCGCAGTGCTGTATGGCAAAAATCTAAATGGAAAGATATGTGTGTGAACTTAGGAGGCGCAACGTGAGTGGTAGGTTACGGGTACACTTAACAAGTCTGCTTAGCAAGTGTCATGGAAAAAATGATCATGCGACCGTTTCGAAATCACTTTCTAAAAGTCAAAAACAATTTAATGCTAATCATTTCGAGAGTAACAGAGCCACGATCAAATGATATCGAATGGATAAACAATCAGAGATGCAGGCAGCCACCGGGGGTCGGCTCTGACGCCGCCGACCACTGTTTTGCGCCAGAGACGATTTGTTTGTCACAGTCGGCAACGTGTCTCTTTAGTAACGGTTGTGTATCAAACATACAGTCCAGTGACGACACCGGCGGTTCAATGCATAAATATATTTTCATATTTGTGTTAAATCGGTGATAAGTCAGCAATTTTGTTTCAATGGAGTGACAAAGCATGAGACTTTGGTTGTCCTTGGAATCCAAGCGTGGCTGTGGCCCTCGTCGGAAACATCATCTGAATGCGACCTAATCGGGTGACCATCAGTTGGGACAGCGATTACTGTCTTTATTTGGCACCAAAACCGGTCAAGAACGTGATGGTTCATGCATATGTGTCGCTGATATGATACATGTATGCGTTCTTCTGTGCATGCTATGCATGCCATTATTTGGTATATATGTTTCCACGCATGTCGTCTCGCCGGCCGTCGTCGACTGACGGGTATCCTGCATTTTTTTTCATTTTTAGATCTTAAGGTGAACTTGAATATGCAAGGGGACTGCAGGGCAGTCTTCCTGACGCCAGAAATTGTCCACACAAAACTGTTTTCACTAAACGGGGCTCACTACGTGGAGCTCACTAGGTCTACGGAGGTCCAACGAATCACTCATGTTGAACGTCGCGAGCTGTCTTCATAGTACACAATCGAATCGTACGTCTTAGCTTGCAAAAGCCTGGGAAGTTAACTATACGTAGTTCGTCATCGTTGTCGAGAAATTAATAATAAAGTTTAAATATTTTCTACGTTACCCGCTTCAGGGATTGGGTTGCAACCCAGTGAGAAGGAAACTTTGATTAAACGACGATAGACGTCACATTTGCTGCATGACGGCTATATTCAGCCTGTTTTACACCACAAAGACCCTTGGCCCCGCCACCCTTCTCCTACCAATCTTTGTGGAGGGAAGGCGGGTACTGGGCATACCAGGTGCTAAAGTCAGGTGGGTGGCAGGCGAGATGAGAAGCCTTCAAACCACTGAAAATATTGGAATGACGCGTTCTACGTTTCTCCAGGGAGGATATATGGCGTTCACTTGTTTTTCTGAAAACGCGCGTTTAATATTTTTAAAGGACATCTGTAGCTTTGCATGCAATCTTAAGTAATTCATCTGATCCCTGAGTCACATCTCCTTGAGAATATCGGGGGTTTCAATCATACTTGCGACTTCTTTATGCCTGTCTTGCCACGCATCGTCAAAAGTCCCAGGTTAAAATTTGAAGATGTTGCCTCCTACCCAAGCACACAAAGTAACATCCTTCGAGCCTATCAGATGCTTCCCTGTCAGGTCAGATCGCGCGTCCGTCGCTGACCTTTCGAATTCAGATTTTTTACGCCCCTATTAAGCCTGTAAATGGCTCATCGCATTACTGAGCGAGCCACGAACCACGCCAGCTTTGGCGCAGTGCGCCGCATTGCGAGAGAGCATGCCCATGATCTTATTCATGATCGTTTAATGCGTTCAATACAGCCTCATCTCGCAATAGCGGGTGAGCTCCGACAGACTCCTTCTGCTCCGGCGAGGTTATAAAGCTCAACACGTGCATCTGCGCCAAGCCGATGTCGCTAAAAACACTTTCAAGGCCTTGGTTCTCCTGCAAAAGATAAACCAAGTTCTAGGCCGTGTGATGACCGTCTGATTGACTGCCTGTATTGAGGAGATGTCAAAACTCGCCTTAGCCGGAGAGGTCGCGGTGATAACAGCGCGCATGCCCAATACAAGGGCCATCGGAATACCATCGCAGCCATCGGAAGTCAAATAAAAAGTATGCCGGTGCCGCTCAGCCTGTCAGGTTTCCATTTCTTAGGCGGCATACCACTCACATTCACCTTGCGACGATTGAATGCAGTCATGTTTCCACGCAATGACGAAAACAGCCACGTCTGGCGTTCGTTCCAGACGCCGGCGGCTGGATGCCGGCCCGGACGAGCTGCCCTTCCGCTACTGCGGCAACCTCCTCTGCCATAGCCTGACGCCGGCGCTGCCGTTCGCGGCCGCGCTGCGCACCTGCGCGCGCGCCGGCGGCCGGCTGGCCACCGTCTACAGCCAGGCGCACAACGACCAGCTGTACGGCATGCTGACGCGTTCGGCGTACATCGGGGCGGTGGCGCGGCAGCGCATGGTACGCCACCCCCGCGGCGAACCGGCCGGCCCGGGAGTCATCTGGGCCTGGCTGAGTGGCGAGCCGGCGCACTTCACCAACATGCTGCCCAGCGAGACGCCTGGCTTCTACCGGCAGCCGGACGGCGGTGGGTTCGAGGCTTGTGTGGAGCTGATGCGACACCGGGTGCTGCACGACGACCCCGGCAACGGCAAGTGGGGCGACACCGACTGCCGAATTTCCAAGCCGGCCATCTGCACGCGGATGGTGCACGTGTTCGCGCGAGCAGCCGTCCAAGACCCCACAACAGCGGCCTTCAAATGCGCCGTTCAACTTCACCGCCAGTCACTCTCCACGAGCAACGTGTCCCGCCGGGTTCCGGCGGGCCAGCGTGGGCCGCGTGGGCGACGCGGCCGGCCGGCAGCGCTCGGCGTGGCCTTAGCGAGCAGCAGCCGGCCCGCAATCTGACGGCGGCGCTGCGGGCGTGCCAGGCCGCTGGACGCGGCGGCAACGGTGTGGCGGCCGGCGCGGCAGGGGGGACGAGCGCCGCTGGGCGGTCGCTCCCGGCGGCGGCCAAACGCCGGTCTTCTGTGGGCGGGCGCCAGCCGCCGCAAACGCGCAGCTCCAGTGGCGCTGGCAGGAGGATGAGACACCAGTGCCGCGCGCCGCCTGGACGGCCGGCGAGCCGCGCGACGAGACGCTGCTCGACTGCGCCGTGTTCGACGCGGCGCGCCGCGGCCTGGTGGCGGCGCCGTGCGCGTGCTGCTGCCGTCCGTCTGTGAGACACCGGTGCGCGGCTGTCGCATCCAGTACGCCGCCGACGTCGCTGGCACCGGCTGCCGCCTCGACTGGGACGGCTGTGGCACTGACAGCTTCAACGGTAGGCCGAGGCGAGGTCCGCCCTGCCAGGCGCCGTTGTGTCCGGTCCTCTGCCCTGCCGGCACGACGCAGCTCGGCCTCGCCTGCTGGCACGTACACGAGCACGAGATGACCTACGCGGAGGCATGGACGTTACTGTCAGAGCAAGGGCATGATAGCCGCCGCGGTGCTCAACCGCGAGGAAAACGCATTTGTGCATCGGCAGGCGGCGCGGCTCGGTCGGCCTTTCTGGGTGGTGGTGCTTCGCGGGCGGTTCACCAACTTCCACCGCTACGGGGCATACGGGCTTCCGGACGAACCCAACGAGTCTCCGAACGCCTGCGCCATCGTCTGGTTCGATGGCGAGTGGATGGATGTCGGGTGCGACCAACGTTTCCCCTGTCATCTGCAAGCGCCCCATTCGCAGGAAACATTGTGCGGCTGCTGTAGAGTCTGCAAAGTCTTCCGACTGAACTGCCACTAGTAGAGCCGTCAAAATGTGCGAACCTCGGCACGCGATATTCATTATCAGCTATGATTCCACATTCAGGCCAGTGCTCGTTTTTTATCTAGACGATGATAATCACGCTGGGCTATTTATCGATTTTGATGTGCATACCAATCTTTATTACGTCTGCGTTAGACTATCAAGATGTAACATAACGGAAGCTTAAGATAACAATATGATTAGCACTTAGCTTCACAACTCCTGAGACGTTCACCGCTCTTTACGCAACGTTTAAGTAGTTGATACCCGGGGCTCTTGCTCCCTGATGGGTGCTTGTCATCGACTTTTCGTCGATTGCATAAAACCGCTTTTACGCCATATATGGTATGCGGTGGTGACAGTTTGAAATAAACCTGGTGTTTCAGACATCAGAATGTTTGTCATATTTCTCCCATCACTTACTGACGCGAGGATCTGGCACCAAATATCCGCGTGCTTGGCCTCAGAAGATCAGGAATGACAAATAAGCTACCTCTAAAATCGTTTAACGTTAATGGATTTGAGCCTGTTTTACTTTACTCACTTTATTTTATGGAAAACAACAGGACAAATTCATAGTCGAGATGCACCTGAGCAATACCTGATCAATCTTAGCAGCACACCCGCGACTTGGTGATTGTTTCCTGTTGAACACAAACCCATGGCGGTCAGAATGTGGAATACTTTACGAAGTTGTTTGACAGTAATGCTTATTCACCAAGGCCTAGGTGACATCATCAGTCTGCAAAACCAAGCAGACTACATGAAGGAATACCAGCCTCCAATGTCTGCCACAGGTACGTCGGAAATCTCGTGCTGTCGGGTTGGCCAGTGAGCCTAATCAGTGAGTCTGGGCGTGGAGTAGCTGAGCGAAGCATGCATGCTAGTAGCAAAACGTGCGTAAAACTGATTCGGTACGATAATTAGGGATGGAAAGGACACGGAGTCATCGTAGGCCAGTGATACCACAAGCTTCTTTCACAATTTGATTTCCCGCATGCTACAGTGGCGATACGAGCAGGGATTTTTCAAGGTGTTTCGGCACGAATCGCGGGCCACTCGAGGCAAATATACCTTCCACAGGTGTTTGGCTATACCCGTCCGATGTTTGACCAAAATAAATGCTAACGGTCTATTACAGCAAGACTGATCACATTTAGGTGGCATGTAATGCACGTGAAGTCCCACAAGAGTATCTAGGAACAATAAGGAGAGTTTGGCTGCTTGTTTGTCCACATAACTTGCGTGAAACGATTTATGGAAAATATTGTATCGCAATCGCATCGTATTCTGAACGTTCGCAATGACATGACGGTAACACAAATCGTGTACATAAATCGCAAAATTGTATGTGCGCGGGCGATGCCAGGTAGGTAGAGTGGTGGAGCCGTAACGGGTTGTCTTTGGTTGTAATCTTGAGTTGACGGCTTTTAATCTTGAGTTCACGTTGAGCAGCACAGATATGGTTTCCTTCTTGGCTGAGAGCTGGCACCAGGTACATCGATGATCTAATGTCTCACATACGCATCTAGATATGGATATGAGCAAGGATCATGCCAGGCAATATGCATGAGAGGCGACTGATTCGATACCAACGTTTCAGGCTGTTGCAGTGTCTGTGCTTTGCCTGGTCTGCCTATTTCCCAACAGCATCATGTATGCATCCAACAAAACAAAGCAGGGATGGAGCACAAAAAGAGGGGGACACGCAGTGCGTCTTTGCAGGTCCATAGGATCCACTGGCACAAAATGCTTGGTCAAGAGGACTTCAGCTATATAAAAAATCCCATTACTCTCTTTAGAGCTCCTACATACATTGCTGGCAAAAGCAAGCCGGTCTTTTTGTTCTAGGAATCTTTCTCCGTAAACAATTTAATTACTTAAATTACTTCTAACAATAAAATTACTTCTTCCGTAAACAATTTAATCAACGATTTAAACCCTCCCTGCGTCAAATGAATGAGACCGAAAAAAACTTCCTCGTGTCTTATCCTTCGCCTGCTTAAATCTGCCAACAGCACATCAAAGCCGGTTATTTTGTCATGAGAAAATCGGACCCAATTCAGTATGTGTAATCGCCTCCAGGAAACGTAAGCAGCTTAGACATAAAAGTGCAAGATTACGTAACGTCTATTCATTCATGCATGCTCCTTTTTTCCTCACTAGTCTGTAGCCGACTATAAGCAGTGTGCAATGCTCCACCTGGGCACATTTTTAATTTATCTGAATGTAGTCCGACTATAGTGATCGGATACATTTCTAGAACGAGAGCCCGCATTAAGCAGATTTTGCTGTGTGAACCCTGGCATCATACCTTGAAGTCCCAGCTTAGCTGCGGAATTTTGCGGCGAAAGTTGTATACAATATTGCCGTCATACTCGGGACGGTCTACCCAGGCTCTGTTTTTATCTGGCCTGGAGCGACCGCCGCTCCACAAGCCGCAGGCCATCCCAGACAGAGGCAAATAACCAGCACGTGATGCAGTAACAATCAACAACGTGCTGGCTTCATTGTGTATCAAACATGCCATCTAGATCCGTTAAGCACGTGGCTTTACAAGATTTGTTTTATCCTACTTTTTTCTTCTTTGAGCTAACCATTCAACACGTTTTGGAGACTTCTACACGGCTTGGTGGTCAGCGGTCATTAGGTGATTATGGGATCAAATGATGTCACTACTTAAAGACTTCAAGCGAATCGTTTAATACGATATTTTTGCAACCAAGAATTTTCAGCGTCCAAATCTCCGACTATAATCCGCGCATCAGCAATGTTCATAACAGTATCCTTAAAATCGTATTAAATGCAAGCACGGTACTCATCGATACAACGCAGAGCACATCCATCATCAGATGGACAGACAGTAGCCCAACAATGCATTCCTCCCGCGCCCCATACACAAAGCCACCCTGACATCTCATGCTCCACAGACCTGCTAATGCTCAACCTGTGGAGGCCAATCGGCAGCAAGCTGCACGAGGGCGACATGCTGCTGTCATCGGCGCAGAAGAAGCGGTACTCGCTGCAGCCGGACACATCCTCCTCGGCACCGCTTGTCGCCAACCCGTGGCCGAGCAACACGGTCAAGTACAAGATCGGCACACCGGGTCCGAGCAAGGAGCTGGTGGAGCACGCCATGGCGCGCTGGTCAGGCGGCACCTGCGTCAAGTTTAAGGAGGACAAGTCCGGCACACTGGAAATCAAGTACGGAGAGGGCTGCTACGCCCAGCTGGGCTATACGGGCTCCCATCAAGTGCTGGTGCTGGCGAAGGACTGTGAGAGCGAACCGGTGTTGGTCCACCTGCTGGGGCACGTGTTGGGCCTGCCGCACGCGCACTCTCGACCCGACCGTGACAAGTATCTGTACGTGCGCGCGCACAACGGCCTCGTCGACGACTTCATGTACCTCAACACCAAGGACTACGCTGCGTGCCCGTTCAACTACCAGTCCATCATGATGTACGACACGTACGGGCTGTCGCGCAGCGGCGAGGCCGTCTTCCTCTCGTCCTTCCAGACGGACAAGGGGCTCATGATGTCCAGCGGCATCGGCATCCAGGACGCGTTTGTGCCGGACGCTGATCTGGCGTTCGCCAAGCACGTGCTCGGCTGCAAGCAAGGGCAAGGCGTCGTGCGCGGCACCACACCGGAGCCGGAGCCCTGCGATGTGGACGTGACCACGGACAACAGCCGTTTCCAGAAGAAACGCGCTCAGCTTCAACCGCATGGATCGCAGTCGGCCGAACAACTGCGTCTGGCGCGTCGAGTACCACCGGCAAGGAGAAGTGCGTGCGCGTCGGCTTCCTCATCCTCTTCGAGATGACACCCGACCCGGAGCGCCTGCTCTTCCTCTTCTCCACCGGCTGCCGCTATTTCCAGGTGGGAGGTCTTCGACCCCGTGTTCGAGGCGAGTCACTTCTACTGCGGCGCCCGACTTTGTGCGTAAGCCGGACAAGGCGTTCATGTCGGGTGGAGTGCACCCCGTGCGCGGCACAGCAAGGCGCTGTACGCCTTCGCGCGGTTCCGCGCCACCACCGGCCCGGTCACCTGGCAGTACAAGGAGGCTACCGGTGACCTCGGCAAGACGGGCAAGGTATACGCCTTCACCATGGAGGACGTGTACTGCTCGGACAAGATTTCGCCCGTCGCGCCGTGCTTCTAGCGCCGCGGTAGAGGCGGCATGTGGGAGGGAAGCGGCCGCCGTGCCGGGGCTTGAGCCCTGATTGGGCATCTCCCGCGTCGCCTGCGGCCCACCGGCGACGGAAAACGCCTTCTTCGAAAAAATGCATGAATCCTGCCTTGACGAAATTATCGGTCTCACTGGATAGCCCTCCGTGATCCTCAAAAGCTAATATAGGTATGCATGTCCGTATATATTTCATCTTATATATGTCCGTGGTTAAAGTTCCAACTGAGCAGAACGTGTCGCGCACATATTTGGTATCAGCCTGCTCAATTCACAACCCAAAAATTTGGTATGCCTGAGTCCCGCGCGGGGTAGATATCAGGACTAAATTATCCGCAATATCAGAACAAGGGCTGAAGCTTATAGAAGATGTCACTCTCGTTAAAATGCCCTAGCATGTCGGAACAGCTTTGAAAAGCCGCATTTTGAATGTGGGAAGCGAATACGCCTTAGTGGTACTTTAGTATGGCAGGTATTTATGGTAGATTGAGGATGGAGAGATTCCCCGAAGTGATAACACCGAGGGCGAGATGAAAACTTTGAAACAGTTTTTTAGCGGTTCGGGTTCGTTGGACATGAATGTGTCTAGTGTATATTTTCAACACTCGATTTTCCCAGCCGGATCCATAACATAAATATATTTGCTATCACAGTCGCGGTAAATGTCAATCCCACTAAAAATATGAAGAGCCTATAAGTCTCACGCATGTCAATAATCCTCCTCCCAGGATTCTGATGCAGGCCGCGCAACGCTGCGCTGAACTCGCAGCCGCACCGCACACAATGCATCAAATAGTGTCAACTTGCGGTAATTAGTTGGAGCACTCAATATGCGGTGGTACTTCGAATGAGCAATGCTCCTGTCCATTCTAACGCCACTTGACCCGTCCACTGTTGACCGATCGGACAGTGACGGCGGCTTTCCCAAGCAGTCCGGCACGTCACGGACGGCCAGTAGGCTGGGCCACACCCCGAGGTAAATCCGACCCATTGTACTAGAATGCCGGTATAAAAGAGACTTCAATCCCACAGAGACACACTATATCTGCAGAGCTCGCTTCAGCAGCATGATTTCTGCCAAGGTGAGCAGATCAAATAAAGGGCTTAGGTGTGCTGACTGTTTTTGCCTGGTTTGGTGAGCAGCTGTTTGATGGGATCGTGATACTGTGATCGTGTGAGTCTTTTCAGTCCGATAGACGAGTGTGTGAAAATTTCGATTTGTTCAATACAAACATCACCGTGCCGGCCTCCGTTAAATGTGGATAGCCGGCTGAGAAAGGATAGCTCTGTGTTGGTCACAAGACTGCAGGTGTTAAACATCGAGTCCGGACACAGACCCGTGTCTTCAGCACACAGATCAGTGTCTTCAAGACACGGAGCGTCCTTCTCTGGACACAGATCCGTGTCATCCGGACATCGTGGTGGCAGCGATGGACTTCTGGGTGACTACAACGCGCCCATTGTGTCCTCAGGCTTTAGCACACCCAGTGTGTCATCAGGTTACAACGCTCCCAGTGTTTCATCAGGGTATAGTGCGCCTAGCATGTCCTCTGCATGCAATGCTCCCAGTGTTGCGTTAGGGTATGGTGCACCTGGCGTGTCTTCTGGATATAAGGCTCCGAGTGTTTCGTCTCAATATGGTGCGCCTGGCGCACCCTCTGGGCATTGTGCTCCCAATGTTGCGTCAGGGTATGGTGTGCCTAGCGTGTCCTCTGGATATAGTGCTCCCAGTATTTCCTCTGGGTATGGTGCGCCTCCGGTGTCCTCTGCATATAATGCTCCCAGTGTTTCATCCGGTTATGACGATTATAGTGCGTCATCTGGCTATAACACGCCGAGCGTGTCCTCCGTCTTCAGCGTCCCTACTTATAGTATCGTCTGGCTATAGCGCCCCCAGTGTTTCCCCGTTCTATAGCACCCCTAGTGTGCCTTCTGGTTATGGCGAGCCCAGCGTATCCACGAGCTACGGTGCTGGAAGTGTGTCAACTGTAGGCTCTTCTGGCAGGGTCAGTACGTCAGTTTCGTCGTATGGTGCTCCCTCATCTGCAGGCTATAGCGGCTTGTGTTTTTGATCACTGAAGCTTGTAGTAATTGCTGTGATTATGCTGTGCACTTGCCCCACGCGTCAAAAACCCACCGCAAAAACCGCAATATATGTCATCAGCTGATAACTCTCGGCTGATGGCAGACACAGCCGTGAGAAAACGTATCCGGGATTGTCAAGTTAAGCATTCTGCCGTGGTGAGAGCACGGTATCCTTGTCAAGAACAAATCAACGGTGGCCAAGATTTTAAGTGTATCATCTCAAATTTCCACTGGAGCTTGTTAGTTGTTATGAATTCCAAAAGCTTAAAATAATCCCCCTTCTTGTCATTGCACATTCCGAACAACGCTAACTTCTCGCTGCCACTTATCAGTGCCAGTGCAATGTTTCTGGGTCAGGATACCATTTAGTGGCCATTGGCACCTTAATTTTTGCTTAAAGGGTGTTGTCCACAATTTTATGCGGGTGCATTATTTTCCAATGTGGAATATTCTCTCTAATGTGCGGTCCTGACATTTCTCAAGGCAAGGGTTTCAAGAAACGCATAGCATCGTCACTTTGTCGCACCTTGTTCGCGGCAATAAATGGTTGGTTGTCAGCCGTTCTGATAAACATGCGTCAGGTGGTTATCAACCCAAATACTTGATACGTGATGTTTTTATCAGCACTGCTGTTGTAATTTCAACATTTGTTGGCTCGCCCACTGCTGACCGATTGGATGGGGGTTGCTTTCTCGAGCGCCCCACCACGTCACGAACCGCCAATAAGCTGGACCACACCCCGAGGTAAATCCAACCCATTATACTGAACTACTGGTATAAAAGCGACCTCAGATCCCATAGAGACACATTACCTCTGCAGAGCTGGCTTCAGCAGCATGATTCTGGCCAAGGTGAGTTGATCACAAAAGAGGGCTTATGTTTGCTGACTGGTTTTCCCTCGTTTGTTCAGCTACCGCTTGTTTGGATGCTTTTTGTTGTCGTGTAGTCTTTTATTGAGTCCGATAGTTGCTCAGGTGTAAATTGAGTTTTTTTTTTGCAATAGAAACATCACAGCACCAGCCTTCCATTAAGTAACGATAGCCGGCTGAACCAGAATAACACTTTGTTGTTCACAGGACTGCATATGTTAAACATCATGCCTTACAAGTATGTGTGGGGCACTACTCAAGAATCAAAATTGCTATCATAGTTGGAAGCTTACTACGTTTTTTTTGCAAACTATTCGTGGGTGTGGACACAAACGTGAATGTGATTAACAACATACGCATAATGCTCAGTATCTTCACGAACCATGTCGATTTCGCAGATCATCGCGACGTTGGCTTCTGCTGGCCGGACTCTGACTAATGATAGCGGTCACGGGACAGGACACAGGTCCGTGCCTCTCGTAGACAGATCGCGGTCTTCCAGACACGGAGCCTCCTTCTCTGGCATACGCAGCATACAAGAGAATGCCAAAAGGCATGCTTGAGAATATTTGAAAGCTCAGTCTACTTGCACGGAGACGTTCGGGAACATAACGACGCGGCGAATAAACCTGGTGTGTCAGACAGAAAGAGGAGAAAAGTTGAAGGAAACACACATCTGGTCAGTGGGTTTATGCGCTTTTTTCAAAGCACGCTAGAAAACGTCTTGCAGGTGGCAGCAGTGTGCGCGTGATTCGTGGCTCCATGTTAGATGCAAAGTGGAGTGCTTTCCGTTTGAGTGTCAGTAATATCGATGGCAAAGCATGGGCAAATTTTGCTCACGGCATGCTCGTACGCTTTCACCATGGAGGACGTGTACTTTTCGGACAGGATCTCGCCCGCGGCACTATGCCCCCTAGCGCCGCTGTGGAAGCGGCGTGTCGGAGGGGAGTAGCCGCAGGGTCGAGGATTGAGCTACGGTCGGGGGCATCTCACGTCCGCAGCGGCACACTGGCAACGAAAAACGTTATTTTCGAAAAATACAAGAGGTCGCCTTTGGATGAAGTTCTCGGTGGTGTTAGGGAGCGTGCTGGATGCTTTTGGAACCAAGTTAGGTATGTTGTCATCAGCTTATACTTGCCAAAGTTAGAGTTCTTACTGAGAAGGACGTGCCTCACTTTTGGCACAGGTGTGCTGTCATGCTATGAAATTACTGTTTTCTCCTGCTCCTGCCAGGCTACAATGTGTAGTACCTTCATGGTACGCATCCGGTTACATCCGTACACAGCGGATGCACGTTATTGCAGACATTCCGTAAAAGGCCTGGGCATGCCAAAGCATTTTTGAAATGGAGGGGTAAGAATAGGTGACGTGGTGCTTTAGTATGGCAGCGTTTTAGTCCCCAGCGTTACAACAGATGGTGGTGCACCAAGGCTACCAGATATGCTTCCTTTGTTCGGCTTCGTTAGGCCCAGTTTGATTTTGAAGATAAATATGCACTTTCTTAAAAACGTCCAAAGTTTTCTGATGGCCATGTCATCTTCCAGCTGGTTTTTAACAAGCGGTTTTGTGGCAAAGTTTCCGGAACAAGTTTTTAGTCGAAAGTAACAGTGCTCACTCAAAGGAAATATGGCAGACAAGTTCTACGCGTAGTGGTGAGGAAATTCCAAACAAAAGAATTACGAATATGCCTTGCTCTGAAGGAAAACTGAGCCATGAAGGATGGACTTGAGTAAACTGGCAATGCGATCCGAATTGGATACCGCGGATCTAGATCCGTATCGTACTGTTTCATCTTTATCTGAGCAGCTAAGCTGTACTTCCGGCCTTTTACATACCAGGCCCCAAGGGGGGGGGGGGGGGGCCCGGCCCCTCCCTATTTACGTGCCTGACCAGGCATGTGGTTAGAAAGGATCATGCGACTCCCTGGCCAACGTGACATTTGGACCCCCTGGTTCGACTGGGCAGCAGATGAAAAGTTATTGATCTGCACGAGCCGTAGATGGAGGCATCAAATATACTTAA